TTCAGCCCTCATGAGAACATTAGTCCACCTATGACTAAGAGACTAGCGAATGAACTTGAGGAGGATCTGGAACCTAGGATGGTTAGGTCTTCTGCATGCTTGCTGCCTGCAGTGCGGTGCCCTGTACTGCTTCATATTCTGCCAGGACAAGCCCATCCCACGTGTGGCCCCTGACCTTGAACCAGAGTTGTCAGCTAAAGTAACTCTCACCCCGTCTGTGGAATTGCTCCCTACTCCCTCCCCTTTGAGACAGGTTTACGGGGATGGCTTTGAACTCCTGCTCCTCATACTCCTCTTGTGCGGGGGATCCCAAGTGAGTGCCCCCACACCCAGCTCTGTGACACTGTTACTAGGAACAGAAAACGGATTTAAGGTAACACGTGTTCTGGTTGACAAAAGCAATGCCTTCCTACCTGTTACTCCTCTGTCAATCCGACCTGGGTTCAGACAGTGAACCAACAATGAACAAAGATAAGGATACAACCCTGTCTGAAGATGTCCGTTCTAATAGTGCTCATGTGGGGACACCGTAGACAACATAGACAGGAGAAGCAAGGTGGCATGTTGGTGTCATTCTAGATAGTCATTTTCACCGCAGCTAAATGGGAAATGCACAGGACATCACGTGAGGTGAGCACATCCCACCCGTACAGCGATCCTATGAACACGGCTAAAGGGCAGAACATTCCCACTCTTTTAAGTCCTGTTCCGTCATCGGCAAGTGGGGTCATTTGGCACAAATCCCTTAACTTCTCTGTGCCTCCGATACCTGGCCTATGAGTTGGGGAGTTTGGATTCAATGACCTCTGATGTCCCCTGCTTTGTTTAAAATATTTAGGGCTGATGTAAAAAAAAAATGCACACATCTCCCTGGTTTTCTGATGTGAACAGAACGGGCCCCTTGAATGAAGAACCTGTGTCCTGGGATTTACAGAGGCAGCCACTACCAGATTTTCAGATGTCCCCATCACATGGCACTTCCAGATTACACAGTGTTAGAAGCCAGTACGGAAATGTGTAGCAGATGGGGAGAAGACTGGAATCCTCAATCCCCCTCAAATGAGTTGCTGTATTTGAGGGAGATTTAGCTGTCTGCTCCCAAAGCACTTTATTATGGAGTAACATAAAACAGTTCTCAAGTCATTAGGGTGCTTTAATCCACAAATGCCCAGGAATGATTTCAAATTAAGGTATGACTGCTCTGAGCACTATTCAAACATACCCCTCCCGGGACAGCTGATTTACATTCAGGGGGCAAACGCTCAACACACTGATTCGTTCACTTCTGCTTGAGTGAAAAAAAACAAAACAACACCTGTCCTCTCTCCAAACTTTAAAAAAAAAAGTCCTTATTCAGTTCACAAGCCTCTCTCTGATTTTATATTTCTAATGATGAGACAGGGGAAAGGTCAAAGTACACAGTAGTTGGGCATGAGGAGATATACTTGTGATCCCGACACTCGGGGGCGGGGCAGGCTTTGCGCAAGTTCAAGGCTGGCCTGGGTTACGTGAGACTGTCTCACACAACACGGGGTATCTGAAAAGCGATGGGACAGAACATGGGCTTTCAACTCATAAATAAAAGTCTCCTAGTCAACCAGGCTCCCTCCCAAACACCCTCAGCTATCCAGAACCTTCTATGAGGTTGTAAATTCTTAGTTTAGAATACTTTCTGGGTCACGAGAGGAGAAAGTGGCCAAGCCAAGAAGAGCAGTGGCCCTCATAGACATCCTTCCAGGACACAGCAAACCAAAGGGCTTCTAAGATCCCTGAGGTACTGTGTGAGTGTGCAAGAGCACACATGCACACACGCGCACATGTGTGGTTGCAAAGCTGATTTGACAGATGGGCACCGTCAGGGGTGGGGCCTGCAGCTTAAGCCCAGGCAAACAAGAAAGCTCACTGGCCTGGACACATACAGCACTGCCAGAGCGATAGCTCTTTCTCATCTCCATGGGTGGGGCGCATGGCTACTCTTAGCCGGTGGAGCAATCTGTCTGGCTAATTCCACTAATGAATGAGATTCTGGCACGCTAACCCCATGTAGCCAGTGTTCCCCAACTTCTTAGAGGGACAAGTACTTGGGGGTGTTTCACTGCTCTGAGGATTTACAGGATGGAATGTCTCATTAGAAGCCTGGGGAACCCCTCTGCAGAAGGAAAGACTGCAGGAGTCAGAGGAGATGGAGGACACCAGGAGAACATGGTCTATCTGCTCAGCTACACGGGGCTCCCATGGGCTCACGGAGACTGCAGTGGCAAGCCTGTGGCCCGCATGGGTCTGCACCAGGTTCTCCCTGTGTATGTTATGGATCATAGCTTGGTGATTTTGTGGGACTCCTAACAGTGGTACCCGGTGTAACTCGGACTCTTCTGCCTGCTGTTGAGACTCTTTCCCCCTATTAAGTTGCCTGGTTCAGTCTCAACCAGAGCTTTTTGCCTTGTCTTATTGCAACTTGTTTTGTCCTGTTTGGCTACTGTCTCCCGGAGGTCTGTTCTTTTCTCAAATGGGAAAAGAGTGGATCTGGGGTGGGGCAGAGTTGGGGTGAGGAATGCTGGGAGAGGTGGAGAGGGAGGGAAGCCTGTGGCAGTGATGCTTGGAATGAGACAAGAACCTGTTGAGGAAAAAAAAAAAAGCAGCCTGCAGGTGCTATACTTTTGAGAATTCTCTTAGCTATTTTGATTGTCCAAGTCGCAGTTCCAGCTGTCTTGAAAATTTCAAGAATGGTTGTATGGCAGCTGGGGAGATAACTCAGTGTAACTTACGTGCCAAGCAAGCATGAGGATCTGAGTTCAATACCCACCCCCGCATCCAACAACAACAAAAATCCAGATGCAGTGGTTTGTATTGCAATTCCAGTGACAAGAAGTGAGATACAAGATGTCTGGGTGTTTCTGGCCAGTTGGCCTAGCCAAACTGGTAAGCTCCAGGTTCAATGAGCCCTTGTTCAAAAAAATAATAAGACGGAGGCTGGAGAGATGATTCAGCAATTAAGAGCACTAGATGCTCTTTCAGAGGACCTGTGTTCAATTCCCAGCATCCACATGGAGGCTCAAGACTGCAACTCTAATTCTAGGAATCTAGTCGAGCCTCCATGGGTACCAGGCATGCATGCAGTGCACACATATAGATACAGACAAAACACCTCCACACATAAATAAAATTAATAGTAATAAAAATTAGAGAGGGACTGTGGACTTCTGATTCACATACAGGCATCCTTGTTTACCCAAACATACGTGTGCATACACACATGAATCAAACATGTATACACACAGTAGTATGTGCTATTTTCTGAAGCTACTTGCTTGGAGCCTCAAGCATTACTCAGCATGGCAAATTAAATAACATCAGATTTGGCTCAGTGAATGGCATCTGCCCTTCCTCCCAATGTTTCTCCTCAAACACTGCCGTGGCATCTAGAGGACGTACCGTGACTTTCAAGGTGATCCTGAATGCAAGACCCAAAGAAGCATGGGCCAAGCAGGACATCGAAGGGGACACTTGGGAGGACACTGGGAATTATCATCCATCAGGGACAGATGGACTATTACTGCTACAATGGCACTGTGACCCAGGATAGCAGCTAAAAGATACAGCCCAACAAAGGTGCCTTAGTGGGGTGGTGAAGCCCAGGTTAAAAAAAAAAAAATCCAAACCAAACAAAAAAAACGGGATGGAATCTTAGAACATTGCAGCAATGGCTTAGGGTAGAAGGCCCGCTGTGCATGCCTGAAGACCTGATCCACTAAAAGTCAGAACCCCATGAAAGGGACCAGGAAATCTTTTGGGAGCATCTCTTCCTCTCTATCAGAGATGACAGATGCCTAGTCACCTGCTTTGGGTGTGTGCTACAGAGACTTGTCTGCTGGAACCATGGGCCCCAGGATGGTGGCAGGTCCTTTAAGAGGTGAGACCTAGTAGAAGATAATTAGGTCCTAAGGGGCACCGTGCTCAGCAGATATTAACGTAGTTCCTGCAGGACCTGGTTATTTCCCAGGACAAGGGGTTGTTATAAAGAACAAATTTAGCCCTTAATCGCTCCCTTCCAGCCTTGCCATGTGATCCCCACGCCATCCTGGCTGCATTCAGCTGATTTTCTTTTATTATACTAGAAAGGAGACTCACAAGGGTACATGTGTATAGGGACTGGCGGGGGCACTTAAGCACTGGTGACATTTCGTGCTGGGATGCCATCACTTGAGACCCTCAGGATATAGGACAGGTGGGCAGACCCCAATCCCAAAGTCCATCTTTATTTTAGTATTTGGCGACTTCTGGACAAGACCAGATCTTAGTCATATATTCTGTGCCTGGTGACAGGAGCCCTGTGTCTGTCCTACACTAGTGGCTTTGCAGAACACTGAGAAATTTCTCATCAAAACGAAGGCAGGTGTGAAGATGGGTACCGCGTGCAGTTGAGACTCTAAAACCAGACAGAAAACTGTGCAGATTTGCTTTTGTGGGTTAGACTCAGGATGGGATGTCTCGGGACCAGGGAGATGGCTCAGGCGGTAAAAGATCTCCTGTGCAAACCCAGACACCTGAGTTCAGATCAACAGCATCCGCATTAGAAAAAGGAAACGAAACAAAACAAAACAAAAAGGCAGGGCAGGGCGGATGGTCATGCATATATATACTTCTAACCCCAGGCAGGCAGAAACAGAGGACTCCTAGAGCTTGCTGGCAAGTCAACCTAGTTAATGGTGACCTTCTGGTTCAGTGGCAGTTCTTGTCTCAAAAGGTAGAGTGTCTTCCAGAGGATCCAAGTTTGGTTTCCAGCACCTACATCAGGCAACTCACAACCCCGTTACTCCAGTACCCGGGGATCTGACGCTCCCTTCTGGCCTCCACAAATAGCTGGCATACAAACACAGACACAATAAATAAATAAATATTGGGGATTTATCAAGGAAAACATCAACCTTTGGCCTCTGCACACAGCACACACACACGGTCTCTTCCACGGTTCAGTAGTTACACAACACACAAGGCTCCTCTTCAATTGATGCAACTCAGTAATTTTTATTGCAACTGGAAGACAATACATCACAGAAACTTTATGGTAGGTCTGGGGAAGTGTTATTTACAATAAATGATGAAGTAGTTTGTCTTTGGCAATATGATTACACATGAAGAACGCAAAATGCTGTATGGATCCCTCCCAAGCAACACCAAGTCCCCCGAGCTCGGCTGATGGTGCCATCTCTACACCGCTGCTTTAGGCAAAGGCAAGCACCACCCAACGGACATCATTTTCCTTCTCCTTTAAGATTCTCCCCTTCTGTTCATGATATTGGCAGTTTCATACAGAAATACAGAAAAAAGAAATTGGCTTCTGAAGAAATTATTACTCTTATAAATTAATTTGGCCTTGTAGATCTGTTGGCCTGGAAAGGTGGGGTGACCCCAAGATTCGGCCACAACCCTCTAGGTCTTCTCGCTGTTTTGTCACTGTGGTTTTGTTTTCTGTAAAATTAAAACAAAACTCAGAAATGCTACAGAATCAGAGTATTAAGAAAATGTCCATGTAGCCATTTCTCAGACACACACCGATGCTTTCTCCATCCCCACGTTCACCGTGACAGTGCAGGTAGTGGGGGACTGGCTGAGCCAGCTGTGGCCTTGGATGGCTTCAACACACACACTCAAGAAATGATGAATGCATCCAAAACAGAAAGTGTGCTGTTTCCTCTAAAACAGGGGAAATGGGGGGGAATCAGGTATGCCAAGATAGAAAACAATTTCTAGGTTTGACAGGATCACCATATCGAAGTCTTCTGAGAATCCAATATGGAGCACTGATTATTTGCAAAAGGGTGGAGAAGGCATGTTCTCCGCTTTTGCAAATGAGACACAGCGGAGAAACACTGCTGTAGAGATCTCAAATAAAGAGTCTTGATTTCAATACTAACAAGACAGGAAGGGTATTTGTGAGCATCCCACAGCAAATCAGAAATGAGCATTCCTCAGCGGTCTGACTCCAGAAGCTCCACAGCACGGGGCAGCACCATAGACATATCCATTTCGGCCATGAAAAGGTGATCGCTTTTAAAATGGTGTTTTCCTTCCTTAATTTTTTTTTTTTGGTCAGTGAAGCTAGCACTTGTTTGCTGAAGGGTGGAAGAGTGACCAAGTCACACCCATTATTCATGATAAAGCAACCGAGTGGACAAGTCTGTGCTTAATTCAAGAACAGCCAGCAGGGGAGAGGACGCTGGGAGTTAGCCACCATGGCTGGCGCGCTCTCAAACGAAGAAGGGTTAACAGATGAATTCACAAAGGTGGGCAGGTCTATACAGAACACTGAATGCCGTGTGTAACTCCTCATGACATCCCAAGAAACAGGAACACCACACAATGTATATACTTTGATTTACACATTCCATTACAAAGGAAAAAATAAAAATAAAAGAAGACACCATTACAATTCTGTAACTGTTAACTGCAATAGAAACCAAAGTCTAGTCTGACAGGTAACTAAAAAGGGTTTATCACGTAGGTTATATAGCAAAAGTGTTGATGTATATTATATATAGTAGTATAAATAATAAAAAAGTATTATTTAAATTAGATCACAGTGCTGCATCATGTGCCTAACAGTGTTTGATATAGTACTGGTGGGCTGGGACCTACAACACGAAGGACTGAACTGTCAACACTGGCAAGTCACAATCAAGAGGGGACATATGCTCCAATGTTTTCTTTTGGTGGCAAAAAATAATACTAAAAATAAAAAACCTTCTCAAGACGAAAGAAAAGGATTTCTTCATAGAAACAAAGAAATCAGTTGCAACATCTGGGCAGCTGTGATCCACCAGAAAGAAATGAGTCCCAACGTGAATAAGGTTTGAGAGGGGAAGAGGAATCACCCTGAATTTAGTCTAACCCTATATATGGGAAAACGTCCCATGTGGGTCATTTGTCCCTAACTCTGGCATCATGTCATAGCCACCCCCACTCCTCCCCAAGAGGCTAGAGGTCCCAGAGTGGCACCACTGAAACCCAAATTGGTGACTTGGGGTGCTGAGCATGGGCCTGCTGTGTTAAATTCTTAGGCTGGGCACCAAAGCCATTCTCTCTTGCCTGGGCACCAATGAATGCAATACTCCTTCTAGAATGTTCCGTGATAGGAACTGCTATGAACAGAAAGCGCTAGACATGCTGAATGACTCTACAGGAAAAACCCATTCTTAGGAAAGGGTGTCAACCCATTCTTCCTTGAAGACCCAGGCAAAGAGAGAGACCTGCTTCAGGTGTCCTGACCACAGTTTCCTTACACATGTGGGTTTGGTTCAGCTTTAGTTTCAGAGAGCCAGCCTTACCAAAAAGAACTCTTGAGAAATATCCTGACTGGAGAGGGGGAGGGAAGTGGGCGCTTGTGATAAACCAGAAAGAAAATCTACGATGCAAACCCTTTCCACAAAGTCCTAGAGAAAGAAGAAAGACAACCAAGAGAGGATAAAAGGTTGGTGCGTATTTCACCTAAGGAAAGAAAGCCACTGTCTCTCCTCTTAAATGTGTCCGAGGGCCAACAGCCAGTGGTTGTAATGCCATGGTGCTGATGTGGTCACTGTTGTTTCCAAAGCATCTGTAAATATTGCTATAGTTCCCCGTTTCCCCCTCCCCCCTGCCCCATGTGAGTACATGAGACCCTGGAATGACACATGAACCACAAAGAAAGAACACCACACCCCTTGAACGATGCTCAGGCGATCTGTCAGACTAATGGATACACAGGCTAGTGTGAAAGCTAAAAGAACACCTGACGTTTGGGAAGAAAGTCCAAGACTAAAGTGAATTACACTTAAGCAAAATATTCTTTCACAAATAAGCTTGTGCTTAAATTCTCTACTGCTCTTGGGGGAGGGGAAAGAGAGGGTGCCTCCTGCCCCTTGGCTTGTTAAGGACACGGACAGCCTCAGTCGGCAGACTTCGCTACAAACGTCCACATACACATTGATAACTTTGTTTTCGCCTCAACAGTCAAAATACAGAGTTAAACACAATTGAGCCATTGTTTTGGTTATGCATAATGTGTATGCCTCCCAAAACAGAAGGAAAATAGAAAAAGTACCCTTACTAAAGTTTCCCCAACAAGTCTTCCAGAAAATTCCAACAAAGGCGCCAAGGGAGGCTCAGGAAAATAACACTTAGAAAGCTGCCCGATGAGGTATTTATGCAAAAAGAGTGGTTCTGGGGTTCAGAACGCACTTGTATAAGATAGTTTTCTAGATCTCTGGGAGATCAGAAAAGTAAATCACACACACACTGCATCTTGTTATCTCTGAAAGAGGCCTCTGCCCCTTCGGAAAAGTGAAACGAGGGGAGACAGCCCACGTGGGGTTTTCATCGGAAGAAGTCCCCTGCCAGAAACAGTGCCGAGCGCTTACCTTCGCCTTCAGTAGAGGTCTGAGTCTCACCGCTTTTGGGGGTGGGGAGGATGGTCTTTTGGACTTGGTTAGGTAACAACAGAAATCAAAGCGTGACTCAGGTTCCAGAGCCACGGATGGCTTGTAGGGTGTCAGAGGTTTGTGGGGGAGAGAGATCAGGGCACTGGGAAAACACACCTGTGCTCTCATCTAATCTGGAACCCCCTTGAGGGGTCATGTTCAGGGACAGGTCTGAGTAAATCTCGCCCGCCCCCAAGTGGGAGCCCCCAACTCCTGTTCTCTCTGGAGCTGCCTTCAGGTTAGGTAGGGGGAGGCAGCAGAGAACCTCCTTCCTTCCAGGCGGATGCGGTTGCCAAGGTACCTGGTTCTGACAGGCGGACATAACTTTAAAGGCCCACTCCTGTCCTGTTTCAAAAGTCCAAGGTTACCTCAGTTTTCTCCCTCTCCCAAACATCTGACCCTGAGCCATGGTAGTGTTTTTCAAGTTCCCTCCGTTTGGGTGGAAGGCCATATTGTTTTAGGGATTTCTCTTTAGACCTCAAGGAAAAACAGGTTTCCTTTTTTTGGCAAAGGTAACTGGAGTTTCTGGCTTGTGTGACATGGTCTGGTTGTCATTCAGCTCTCACTATCTTGGTGGTCTTAGTCCCAGGGCGACTACAGCTGAAGAGGCAGCGACAGCCAGCCCCCTTCTCACTGCGAAACCTCACAGTCGCAGCAAAACACGCAGGGCTGGCCCATCCAAGCCCATAATCACTTACTTCCTCCTACCCATGCACCCTATCTCTTACCCTCACCCAATAAGGCCCATTAGCATGTTTCCCCTTCTTCTGGCGAATTTGCATAATTATTCACTGCCTTTTTCCTAGAACCAAATCACGGTCATGATTTTTCTCAAGTAAGCGTCCCATAATTCTCTTGACTCTATCATACACACTACTAAGTTTGCCCTCGAATTATTGCGTCATGTTAAACACATACAGACAAAGGGAAGGACACACTCTTCAGTAGAGAATCAGAGGGGTCGGGGCTGAGTGCGGACAAGGCAGTATAGAGCTCAACCAACCAAGCCCTACCAGAGTACGGAGATAATTTATATTGCAGAGTAAGTTCCCCAACAGTCAGAGTTTTGTCCCTGAAGAAGGTTAAACCTTAAACACCTGCTTCAAAAAACCAAAACAAAATAACAACAACAACAAAAAGAAAAAGGAGAAAAAAAGGAAAAGAAAAAAAAAAGAAAGGAAAAAAAGAACAAAAGAACCTCTAAGCCTAAGGGCTTAAAAATTAGAGGCATAGCCTTCTCTCTATTTTCTATATTTATATGAAAATAATTCATGCTTCATGCTAAATACATTATTTACCTTACAAGAACTTTGTTATTTTTGAATAAAAAAAAGTTTATTTTTGTGATTTTTTTTTTAAATTTTCTTTTCTTTTGTTTTTTCTTCAAAGGAATCCATGCATCGTGGATCAGAAATTTCTGCTGGCTACACTGGCTGAATGTGAAAACCACTGATTTTATTTTTTTATTTTTGCAAAGAATGAGTTCTGGCATTAATTGCAAACCCTTTTTGAGGGCTGTATAGGAGTTGTATTGATTACCATGTTTTTGCTTTTCATGTCCATCAGTGCGCCTTTAACCTCTTAAAAAGACATCACAATATGAACGGCAGTTTTTGTAGCACCCCCCCACCCCCAAACTTGGATCAGATTGTTTGAATGGGAAAGAATCTGTACCATTTTTCCTTAACAGCTGCTGTCATGTTTTGGGCATGATTGCTTTCACTTGGGCAGTTAAAAGGATATAGCCTGTTTTCTGCATCAGCTTTAAGTCTCGTGTGTGCGTGTGTGTGTGTGCATATATGTGTGTGTGTATGCGCAGGCGCACACAGGGCCAACCTTCAGGCTTATGGCTTTTGGAAGTCTTCTTAATTGAACAGAGAGCAGAATTCAGTGGCTAGCAATGGCTCTAAGAATTTTCCCTGTCTCTCCCCATTAGACACTGAGGCCGGATGTACTGAACAGTCTGGTAGTCAACTTGTGAGACGGTACCAGGTTCAAGCTTAAGAAGTACCGAAGACTGGCAGCCTTGGGCTTGCTATCTGGCAATGCCATTGGCATTTCTGGCACATTGGTATGCCAGGGCCAGAGCACAGTGTTACCCTTAGAGGATGCTGTTCCGAGGGGGACACGGGGCTCCTCAGTCTCTGCGATTGCTCCCCAGTTTCACTCCAAACAAAATTGACTTTTTAAACCTAAGGGTTGGCCTGAGCGTGATGATTCTGCATGCGTGCCTCCTGGGTGGCGCAGGAGTATTCCTGTGACATTAATGCTGACATCCCTGTGGGTTCAGTCACAGGTGTCTGACAGGCTGCAGGAAGCAATGGTTAATTTTGGCTTTTTTTTTTCTTTCGGTTTTTGTCTTCAGATAAAGAAAAGCTTTTGTAAAACGGCTGAGTGTCAACATGAGTTCTATGGCTTCAATCTCCTTTAAACATAAAATTCTTAAGGGTCCAAAAACAAAGGAGTGGGGGGCAAATTAAAAAGAAAAAGAAAAGAAAGAAAACCAAACCAACAAAAGGAAAAAAAAAAAAAAGAAAAAATTGCTGATATTGCCACAAATCATTAGAAATCTCCTGACCTGCTGAAACCAAATGGCCATAAGTTCAAAACAAATCAGAGACTTGTTTCAATTTTTTGTGGTTTCCTTTTGTTCTTTTTGCCCCTTGGCCGTCCGATTGGTGATGTTGTTCAAACAGGACCGGATCCCAGCCAAGTGCAGGAGGGAGCCGGCGGCCTCTTTCATCTCCTCATCGTCACTCTCGGGGGGTTTTTCTGTGCGTCTCTTTTTGAGGGGCAGTGTGTCGCTGGGGACCTTCCTGGCCTTGGCGAAGTGCTGCCGCTTCTTGTGCTGGGATGCGTACCCGCTGTCCCCCAGGGCATCCTTGGCCTCCTTCTGGCTGGGCTTCCTGTCATCCTCCTCTGTCTCGCTGTGGCTCTCGTGGCTCTGGAAGCTTCCCTCACTGCCCTCCTGGCTCCCCTTGGTGGCAAACTCATAGTGGTCGTCAGCCGAGGAAGAGGAAGAGGAGATGGAGTCGCTGGCGGGAGAGGTGCTTCGAGCATTGGAGGACTTGGCACTACTGTAGTTGTGATCCTCCTTGGGATCGCCACTGACCACCGGGGAGCCACACGGCGGCTCACTCTCAGTCCGCATCCGGCAACTGGTGATGCTATTCCTGCAGACGGAAGAGGAAACACCAAATTACATCTCCTCTGGTGGAGGCTCCTGCAGGCAGAGCTAGCAATCCCAGAACATGGCTAACAGGTACAACGATCTCTGCAGAAGGGCCCCCGTCCCCACCCTGTCCTTGCGCTCATCCCTTCCCACCCCAACAGACATGTTCACTTAATCCACGGTGTCTGAGTTGTCAAAGCAATACTTTAAGGTGACGGCAGAGAAACCTTTCTTTTACACATTAGCCCCAGCACCACTGGAGTAAGACACCACCAGCCGATGCTGGCTGGGCACCTCTGAAACAATGAAGTGGCATTTGTCAGAAGGCTAAATACAACATGTGGTAAAGAGTCCTGCCTTGTGGGGACAGCTGCTCGCTCACTCTGCCGATGTGCACCGAGTATGTAAGAGAGGAGATCCAGGGGAGCTGTTAGTGAAGATTCTAGCATCTAACGAAACAGTGAGTAGGGGCTGGCTCATGGAGGAGAGGCCGGTAAGTTACTGTTTCTTGAGCTCCCGACCAACGGACGCCCTGCTGAGCCCATAGGCGTGTTTAACTCCATCAAGTGACCTCACATGGGTCTGAAGTGAGTGCCACAAAGTTCGGTCACTGACTAAAGCCACACAGATAGCGACAGAGCTGCGACTGAAACCAAAATGTACGTGCTCAGCTGCACTCGGGTCAGTGTTCCCCTGCAATTCCCCGCCAGAACGTCACATGGGCTCTCCCAGCACCCATCATGCCCCGCGTCACTTCTTGTGTATATTTATGCCACTGGCCCTTCTATGTCTCCTTGTTGGGAGGTAGGGAGAGGCACCGTGCCCACCTTCTGCTGCTTTCCTGATGTGCCTGGCACACAGCAGGTGCCCAGGGTGGGTGGGAGTCTGAGGGACAGATGAGCGCAGGAGGCATGGGGTACTATAGTCAAAGGGAGAAGGAACTTTAAATATCTCCCAAGTCCCAAGCAGGATAGGTCCTGTGCTGATACAGGACCAGTATAGACACTGCCAGAACCTTCTGGCAGAGACAGGCATACTGGTGCACTTTTTGGGGTGTGAGAACTGGAATATAGTCGGATCTCATCCTTACTTAATGAAATTAACTTTCTCTGAGATTTCAGCACGGGTCTATAATCCATAAATTACACACCAAACTCTGCAGGGAGTGACAAGCTCCTTCAATTATTAATAACTTGGCACAAAGTGGCTCATGTTGGTGTAGGCCCAGCTGCACTGAGCTGGTGTCAGATGCCTCCTGCTGCAGGGGGTTGTCACTCCAGGACACCAAATGCTGAGAAGAAATTAGCCATCCTCAACTCCTTGGAAAGTGCGTTTCTAACTACCGCCTCCACCCCAGAACCCAAACCCGAAACCATTCATTCCAGTTGACATTCGATACAACTGAAATGCCTGCAGCTTCTCAGCCTTGGCCGAGTCTGTGAATCATGATCTTCACGGTGACCACAGATTAGCATCAGCAAAAGCCACTTGATCTCACCAGGCCCCTAGGAGTTTAAGCCATAGGCCCAGCAAAGCCATGTGCGCTCAATCTCAAACCTGGAAGCTGTCCACTTTCCTCATCCACAGAGGGAATACAGGAAGTGAGACCTTGCAGTCGTACCTTGCAGTGGTTCAAGGCAAAAATGATCAGTGTTTGTAACTAAGAAGCCGCAGTGCAGGCCAATTCTGACTGCGGCTCTCCTTATGGCTCTCATTTTGTTCCACCCTACTTAAATGCCATGGGTTATCTCAATGGTTCTCAACCTCTGGGTCGCGACTCCTTTTGGGGGGGGGTCACCAAAGACCATCGGAAAACACTGATATTTACATTATGAGTCATAACAGCAGCAAAATTATAGTTGTAAAGTAGTGATGAAAATGATCTTTATGGTGGGGGCGGTCACCATAACATTAGGAACCATATTAAGGGGTCACAGCATTACAAAGGTTGAGAACCATTGAGTTACCTGGTACCCAAGGGTTCTCTAAGGAATGAACAGTTCTACACCTACTGGTTGTCATTTGGAAGAGTTGCCTGCGCTAGGCACTGACCTGAGGATTCTGACCTCTTGCCAAGTATGAAAAGCAGACAGGATCATCTAAGAGGGGCCTGGAGGCAGTGCAATGCCTCTCTACCAAAGAAACCACAAGCAGAGAGAGAGAGGCTTGCTCTAAACATCTCCTGGTCAAAACTTTTGACCAGGTAGCAAGGGAGACACATTTAGAAGCAGCTTCCCTGACTACAATACAGACATCAGATACGGCGCGGCGATGCATTTTACAGGCATTCTGAGTTCACTAGGAAATATGGGCAGGGCTGTACAAACTAGACAGCCTGAGTTTGATCCCCAGAACCAAAGCTGTCCTTTGAGCCCTGAATGGGCGTCACACACAGCAACATTCACAAAAATAACATACAACACAAGGGGACAGACCCACCCATCCAACCTATCATTTTAAAACTAACTTGAAATGTGAGCAATGGGGGAATCAGGAAACCGGGGTTTCCCTGGAACAATTACCTACCCCAGGACTGGGGCAAGAGCCCAAACTGATGGAGGAGGAAAGAGAAGCAGGGATGGGAAACTGGTTTTGTTACCTTCATGGATTTTATGGTTGCTCCAAGGGAGTCACAACAGACTCAAGCCCACCATTCCCATAGGCATCCAGAAGTTTGAAAAAGCAAATCTTCTTTGGAATAATACACTTCAAATCCAACCACAGAGAATCCCAACTAATTAGCGTGCACAGAACCTAGGTTCATAATTTTAAAGCCATTAAGCACAAGGGAAATACACTATTACAAGTGAGAGAGAGCAGAGAAAAAGCTACAGAGCCCAAACTGCAAAGACTGCACATGTTGAGACCACAGAGAAGGAGATTAGTATTTAAAACAAAGATGAGGCACAGGAGGTCAACAGCCCTGGAACCCTGGCACTCAGGGGGTGAGGCCCTCTCTTATGGACTGGAAAATAAAGTATACAACATGCAGCAGAATATGGCTAAGGGGTGGGAACGCAGGTGAGAGGGCTGGACTGATCATCAAACTGGACAGCATTGGTGCTGAGGAGCAGGAGTCACGAGAGCTTGTTCAGCGCCTATACAGAAGCTGGGAGCGTCTGTCTATAACCCCAGTGCTGGGGGGCAGAGCAGCTTCCTAAACAGTCTAGCCCAACCCATGTGCTTCAGGCTTCAAAATACCTGTGTGTGGTGGTACCTGCCCACAATTCCAGCACTTGTGTGTAGACAGAGAGGTCAGGGCTCAAGGTCATCTTTACCACCCATACAGAGAGAGAGAGAGAGAGAGAGAGAGAGAGAGAGAGAGAGAGAGAGAGAGAGAGCTCAAGGTCAACCTTTCCCAGGAGACTGTCTCAAACAAACACAAGAAAATTTCACAGAAACTGAGCCGGACTTTTAGAGGGGTAAGAAAGCACAAGATGTCACAACCAAATTAATGGCTGAAAATTTTCTAGATTGGCTGAAAGGTACCCATTTTTGGACTAAAAAAGCCAATACATGCTTATCAGGATAAACACTGAAATTCACGCCTACCTATCACTATCAAATAAAAAGGTAAGCCAAGAAACAAGCAATACAGGCCACAAAAAAAAAAAAAAAAAAAAAAAAAAACAAAGAAATTAACCAACCAACCAACAATCTAATTACTTAACCAAAACCACAAGGATAACTAGGAACAAACAACACAACCTAACCAATCAGTCAAAACCACAAAAGATCACAGCACTGTGTCGTGGCAGTCCCGGCTCCTCAGAGGACAAGGCAGGAAGATTGCTGGCTACATCAGGAGGCCAGAACTGGGCAAAGGTGAGATACAAAAGTAGAAGGAAAATGCCAACGGGTAGGGAGTACCACAGCCAGTGAGGGCAGCAGGAGCAGACAACACTCTCAAGGCGAAAGAGAGAACACTGGTCAGATGACGCCTTCAGACTAGAAACAGACACAAGGTCAAGGCGCTACCCACAAACTATAGAAACTTCCTAAGAACATTATTTGGGAAGCACAAATGTGATCTAAAAGGGAAGGCTTGGTGCACAGGAAGAAACGACTAGCAAAGGAGACACAAGCAAACGGTGACTGAACTGCAGAATTATGATCGATGGCTTAAGAACAAAGAGAAGCAAAACAGAGGCCAAGCACTGAACTTTTTTTTAATTCCCCATTTGGGAGGTGGCGAGAACTGAAGCGAAAATATTCGAAAGGCTTGGTATTGATCACAAGGTTAAAGATATCGATCAAACATTTTAGGAGGTTCATGTCAAAAGTTTTAGGGCTCACAATGAAAGAGGAACGTGACGCTTAACTTGGGAGGCAATGGAATAAGAAGAGGGAGAAGTCAACATAAATAATGCTCAGAAGGGTCTGGAAGCCGGGGATAAAGTACGTGCAAAATTAGACGGATATGAATCCAAAGATGCTAATAAAAATGGGCAAAAACCTCTTCAACCAGAAAGGTACAGATTAGTGCTAGGGATTGAAAAAGGTGTGCTGTTTATACACCGTGAGCCTAAAGCAAAAGAACAAAGGAAGGTCAAGATCACGGAAGTGTGTCAGCTGCGGAAGCCAGCCAGGATGAAAGACAGGTTTCAAGGCAAATGCTACGACTACAAACACAGTCCTAACCCACAAATGTTTGGTTCGCCAGGGAGATCAAACTGCTCTCAACAGGAATTCTTCCAAAAAGAAGATGGCTCCAAAATACATCTCCTACAGCTAGAGTGTTTCAAGAAGGAAGAGCCAGACCCACGGTGTGATGGGTTTAACATGTCATTCCCAGTGTCAATCAGACTTCTCTCTCTCTCTCTCTCTCTCTCTCTCTCTCTCTCTCTCTCACACACACACACACACACACAGATACATAAATAATGAAAATGGAAAATACTGTTTTAAGTACATGTGGAACACTTTAAAAAATTGATTGTATTAAACTATCTATTATCTACCTACACTTGGCCATATATACTGGGGCATCCAGACTAGGCT